ATAAAATACATTGCTATTCTGTTATAGTACAGTAGGGAACCGATTATCCGGAACGATCGGGACCATCGATATTCCGGATAACTGATTTTTCCGGTTTTCTGAATCGCTACAAAAAGCCGTTTTTCTTACAGCTGAACCCAACTAAAAAAAAAAATTTTAATAATCTTGAAAAGAAGAAAAAACGATAAAGTAATACACTAATGATTATTTCCAAAATGATGGTAAGGTAAACATCTTTCAAAAAAGAACGAAAAATTTTATGAGGAAAAAAAAATTTTAAAAATGGCGGGAAAACTAATCAAATTTCGTTCCGGTTTTTTGGTTTTCCGGTTTTCTGATTTCCGGATAACGGGTTCTGTACTGTAATAACTTTGCAGTTTCTTTCATTAATCATATAAATTTGTAAACTTCTGATGTATTTTAATGCAACATACTTTATGCAATAAGCATAACTTACTATTAATGAACTTATAATGCAAATTGTTTTTTCTAAATTATAAGTTTGTTTAGTTTTTTTTTCTATGCCTTTCTTTTAAAAAATAAAAGCTATATGACTTTGATTCCAAATTGATGCCAGACTCAATTATAGACTTATTTGCAAAAATACTGTTTAAATTTAATCATTTATTTATTTTGCAGACTAAAGAGGAATTAAGCCAAATGAGATGTGAAAATATGGCTTTGAAAATTTTCTTAGAAGAGAAATCAAGCTCTGTTGTAAGTATTTTTTATTAGTATTGTTATTTTCATTTAACAGTTTTGATATTTTAGTCTATTGTAATGATGAAATTTGTTTAAAAAAGTGTTTTTTGATAGTAAAAGAATAAAAAAATCTCGGAGAAATTATTACAAAAGTGTAACTAAATGTGAGAGGTATCCATAGATGTCAACTATTTTGATTTATCTGTAACTATTACAATTTTGCATTCAATATTATTGCTGAGTAATAAAAATTACGATTTTTGAAATTTTTTATTATAATCTCTTTTAAGTTTTTTTTGAAGAGTTATGTAATTTTGTTGTTAGTAGTGAATATTTTTTTTAAAAAGAGTAATTCTTAAATTTTACTTTTTTATTCAATTGTAAATCATGCATTATATTATTGAAACTTATTAATGTCAAATTAAGTAGTAACAGCACCTTGAAATTCTGTTGATTATAATTAAAATAATAATAATAATTACAAAACAGTTGTTTCTGAAAGTTATGTCTTTTACTAGATTATCCTTATTTTTCTTACATGTTCTGCTTCTATGTTTTAATAGTTATTTGAAAATTCATTTATAAGCATTAATTATTTTTCTATCATTATTTTTCTAGAATTTATTGTCTAAATTAAAAGAAACTGATCCTTCAGTAGATATGGATAATTTTGAAACCAAAGTTATGGATTTAATTGCACATGAGCGACAGCAAATTGAAGAGATTAACAAAGTAAGAATGCATCATTATGTTAATTTTTTTATTTTTGTTCCCTCAATTTTCTTTACTTTCACAAACATTTGATGGCTGATCTTCCATTTGACAGCAAAATTGGTACAAAATCAGAGCTTTACCTAATTAGGCACTTCCAACTATATCCTAACCATACTGAAAGAAAACACAAATAATTAAGATCAAAAGGATAAAACTTCTTTGAAAAAAAAAAAAATGCGCTAAGAAGCAGCAGAAAT